TGATAACCTTCTTTTCCTCCACTTGCTTAGACATGACATCCAGGATGAGCTGCTCCATCATCTTTCCCGGATGGAGGTGAGGCTGACTGGCCTTTAGTTCCCTGGGTCCTCCTTCTTGCCCTTTTTAAAGACTGGAGTGACATCATCTTTCCTCCAGTCCTCAGGCACCTCTCCTGTCCTCCAGGACCTCTCAGAGATGATGGAGAGTGGCTCAGCAATGACATCTGCCAGCTCCCTCAGCACTCGTGGGTGCATCCCATTGGGGCCCATGGATTTGTGGGTGTCTAGTTTGCTTAAATGATCTCTAATCCAATCATCCTTGAGAAAGGGATGGTCCGCCCTTCTCCAGGCTTTCTCTCTTACAGCCAGGGACTGGGATTCCTGAGGCCCAGCCTTAGCAGTGACGACTGAAGCAAAGAAGGCATTCAGTAGCTCTGCCTTCTCTGTATCCTCCATCACCAGCGCACCCACTTCATTCATCTGTGGCCCCACATTTTCCTAGTCTTCCGTTTGCTGCTGATGTACTTGAAGCCCTTCTTGTTGTCTTTGACACTCCTTGCCAAATTTAATTACAGGTGGACCTAATGGTCATTGATGGATGGAAACAATTTTTTCATGAATTATGTGAAAACTGACAATACTCCAATATCTATGAATAATTCATTTAAATTTCTAAAGATACAATATCTTACTTTTACATTTTTACGATAAAATTGGTCCTAATTTGATTGTATGTGTTTTTAGCTATCTGCTCACTGCTTGCAGCAGCAATTTTTTAATTTTATAGGTTCAGCTTTAATTTAAACTCACAAGTAAAACCACATTTTACCGATCCAAACAAATGAAAGTCACTTGGTTTGTATTCACTGATTTCTGCAAAGACCTGGTTAGGTCTTAATAAAAAACACAATCAAAACAATTTCATACCAAATTTCCACTTTTGTAGGTGATTATGACCTGCTGGAAAGCACAGCCCAGTCTCCCCTAGGTAAGAAGCAAACCCGTGGAATGTTTCTCTTTTTACTTTAACTCTTTTAAAAAGGAAGCGCCAAGCTTTTTCTCCTGCCATTTAGGTATTATTTTCTAATCAGTTCTAATTATGGTGACACATTTTCTGGTGCATTACTTTTAGCAGTATTAAAAAATTTATTCCTCCACTATTGAGCCTTATAATCTAGCGAGCATGTCATTATATATTATATCTACCTGCTTAACAGTAATTACTAAATGGTGTTAAGGAAAGTCAACACTGTGATTCAGTGGTTATTTTCCACAGAAAACTAGGGATAAATGTGCAAGACTAATTTAACAAAGTTTGACAAGTAATGCAATGTTCTTAACTGAGTGCTGTGATTAAATAGATATATTCTGCTGCATGGATGGCAAATAGATTCTCTAAACATAAGGTCACTGCTAGTGTTATCAGCCACTTGACTAAACTGCTCTCAGAATGCGAAGCAGCACAACCTTAATAAAAAAACCACACTGGAAATTTCCATCAATTTTGGTCAAGGTACAGCTCAGACGTCAAAAGCTGTAATAGTTTGATAAATGGAAACTTCTGTTGTGCTGGAGAAGAATAAGTGCAACCAGCAGCCCATCTCTAAGTTTCAGCCAGGTCACAGAGCTCTGGCAAGAGTAATGGTGCTTAAAAACAAGCACCAAGGGGGTCATCCCACCTTAGGCAACCTCAGCAACAACGTGAGGGTCAAGAGACACCTTCCTCTTCTACCTCCAGCCCTTGTTTCCTGATGCAGTTTAAAGCCTTTGGACTGTGTCTGTGAAAGTTATTTAAGAGGTAGTCCTTATATGAGATTAGCCAAATAATTAGGGTAAAAAGAGAGAAAAAGGACAAGTTTTGAGCATACTTGAAAACATTTGCTTTAGAATAAGGTTACAAACTGGGACTGGAACAAGTAACAGGCAGAGGAATGTAAGATGCTCTGAAATAGGTTTGAAATTGTCAACTGAAACTACACAGGGCACCCGGAGGTGTAAATAAACTCATTGCTATGAAGACAGAGATGTGGAAGAGATTCCCACTCCATCTTTCCTTTGTTTTCCTACAGACCCTTCTCACAAAGTCACTAGCAGATCAGAGCCTAGGCTTGTAGATAAATGAGTGGGATACATGATATCTGACTGTGGGAGAAATATTCAGCTGCCTCACCATAGACATTTAATGGCTATTTTACATATCCTACAGTATCCTGCCTGGCTTCCAGCAGCTGCTCTGAAAAATCTTGTTAGCCTTGTGTTTTCTTGCCAGTCCCATGTGTGTGCCTCAGATACAGATCATCTTCAGTAGCACAAAGTGCCTACCTATATATATATCAGCTCTGGACTTAATCTTTAGCGATCTGAAGTGTAAATGTCTACATCGTAACTCTATTCTCTAGATGCTTTTCAGAATCAATGGAGAGAAATGTACCTTTACCTGACCCTTGGTTTAGGTACCCACTTGAGAATGAGATCTTTGGTGGCCTGGAGGCACTGACTATACTGGTTAAATATTTTTTGCTCTCTAGTGACCAGCTGTAGTAGTAGACATCCATAGGTGCCTGTTGTAGAACTGGGTCATTAAAGATGTCATCAAATTTGCAAGATGCCATGGAAGTCTTCAACAGATAACCAGACAAATAGTACCCCCAGTAGCACTGTGAGTTTTTCTTTGGTCATGTTGCAAGGGGAGGGAGCATATGTCCTGTGGTTTGCTTCAGCAATGTCACATTTCCAACTGTACTTGACATAGGGGACATCAGCAGAAACTGCACTGAAGATGGCTGGTCTGAACCTTTTCCTCATTATTATGATGCCTGCGGCTTTGATGAAAATGAAACAGAGTCCGATAACCAGGTGGGAATTAATCTCATAACTGAAAACAGATGAAGGGGGGGAGCAGCAGGTTGCTTTTTGCCCTGCCTCTGGTTGTGTTCTGATTTGATGCTGATTAGAATGAAACAATCAGATATTTATGGGCATAAAAATGTGAGAAGCAAGATTTTAATCCTTCCTAGCCCTGTACAGAATACTTCCAGAATATGAGTGTTTGCTGTTGATACAGAATGTAGCTTCTAGAAGCATGGGCTAGACCCCAGTTCTTCCCCTATTGACTAAAGAATCCCTTATCCAACTGCTTTTTTTTTTGTACAGATACATGCACAGTGGTCAAAGAAATCTAGACAGCCTTTGTTAGCTCGCTGACAAACAGGCTTCACAGTATGCATACCCAAGGGTACGCCTTACATAGAGCAACCCTCTAATATACAGTGAGATATCAGGGGAACCAAGAGGAGAAAACAACCAGTCTGTTCAAGAGACAAATCCTGCCTATGGTTCCCCCTGCACGTTGACAGGATAAAGAAGGTGTGACCGTAGGTGAACCATTTAACCATGTTTTCTTTGCCTCCCAAGGATTACTACTATCTGTCTGTGAAGGCTCTGTACACAGTGGGATACAGCACTTCTCTTGTTTCTCTCACCACCGCCATGGTTATCCTGTGTCGTTTCAGGTGAGTCAGGACATGAGCAGTGAGCTGTTCAGTCACTGGAGGAAAGAGGCTGGAGCTCATCCGCCCAAATCAATGTTTAAGCTTTTATCTCACCAGAGGTAGAAGAAGAGGGAGACAACCCTTTAACAGAGTTATTGCCCCAGCTTCAACACACTCCAGCAGTCACATTTCAGTAGACTGTAGATACACATGCAGAAGCTGTGGGTGTATTTTATGCAACTGCAGTAGCTGCATTGGACTGGGTCTGCTTTATGATACCCTACATACTTTTACAGGACAATCCCCAGAACCTCCTTTTGGTCAGGTTTAGGGTCAGTGTTATCCACAGTCTTAACTTTCAGATGTTGCTGTTCTTATCACCAAGACATGAGGAGCTCTAGGCGTGCATACAGCTAGGGCTAGTGTGCTATTTCCATGAAAGAAGTCTTTTTTTCTTTTTCTTCTTTTCCTCTCCCTTGCTCTTTCCTCTATAGGAAGCTTCACTGCACTAGAAATTTTATCCACATGAACCTCTTTGTTTCATTCATCCTACGTGCAATATCTGTATTCATTAAAGATGGGGTTCTTTATGCTGAACAGGATGGCAACCACTGTTTTATCTCAACGGTAAGTAAAACCAAAGCCAAAGCCTTTTGCTTTACATTTTTCAGCATGAGATAATAAAAAACAGTGAGGCAGGCAGCAGTCTGTTTTGTATCATAGACTGAGAAGCTATTGGGAGAGAAGTAAATTGGTGGTAAACTTCCCTCCAGGTTCACAGCAAAATTGTGGGAGTTATTGTCCTATGAAGTCATCAGTGTCTAGCAATCCATCCTTTAGGACAAATCTACAAGTTTTGGTTTCTGACTCTACTCAGATTATTTCTCTGTTTCACAGATCTGCACAGGGATAGGTGGGAAGAGAACAGACACAGGAAATTTCCTTCATCTGAAGGTCTGGTTCTTCTCCAGAGCCTTATTTGTTCTGAACGTCAGGCAGAGTCTGCGTAGAGAGGGTGACCATTCAGACACAGAAAATACCCCTGGCAGTCACGCTCTCAAAAAAATCATGGGAGCTAAACAGGTGTAGGTCTCCAAAATGTGTGGTTTCATGAAAAGCAGTCTCTTTCACAGGTGCACTTAGCTACATATTACATGTAAACCCCAATTCCTTTAACATTTAAGGCTAGAATTTGATTTGATAAATCAGCTCACCAGACATAATTATGATGGATTTACAGTGAGTTCCCAAACTGAGATCTCTTTTATCTATCCAGTTATGAACTAAATTTGCTATGAGTCACTTCCACAAGGAAAGTGCAGCTGTGTAGATTCTTAGTCAACCTTTTCTTTCCCATTGGAATTAGTTTTTGCTTTTAATTCTTCTTCCTGATAAAACTGAAGCCATGTTAGGTCTGTAGTTTGTTCACACCACATGTCTAATAATGGCATCTGCCTCTGTTTTGAAACACTTGAAGCATAAAACACATTAAAATCAACCATCTAATGACCAGCTCTTCGGGCCTGGTAGAGCTTCCATGAAGAAACTCAAGATCTGATGGTTTAAACGTATCGGTTGTGGTTTTGTCCCAGAGGATGGAGCGCAAGTGCGAACCAGTCAAAATTGTCAGCCTTCCATTGCCCCAGGCAGGAGCTTCTAATTCATACATTGATTCTGCTCTAATTTGTTGAGAAGTCCTACCTGCATAGGACTAATGATGTCTCACTGGGATGCAACACTGGAAAGACAAGCCAGTCCTACTCTCACAGAGTCAGTGTAGAGTTCAGTTTCCACCTAAGGCTTTTATCATAGAATCATTTAGGTTGGAAAAGACTTTTAAGGTCATCAAGTCCAAACGTGACCCTAACACTGAGAAGTCCACCACTGAACAATGTCCCTAAACATCAACTCTACTCGCCTTTTAAATATGACCAGGTATGGTGACCCAACCACTTCCCTGGGCAGCCTGGTCCAATGCCTGACCACTCTTTCAGCAAAGAATTTTTTCCTAATATCCAGTCTAAACTTCCCCTGGCACAACTTGAGGCCATTGCCTCTTGTCCCATCACTTGCTGCTTAAGAGAAGAGACTGACAGCCACCTCCCTACAACCTCCTTTCAGGTAGCTGCAGAGAGTGCTAATGTCTCCCCTGAGCCTCCTTTTCTCCAGACTAAACAACTGCAGTTCCTTCTTTCTTTTTTCTTTTTTTAATTCATCTGCTGCTTTTGAAATGAATGAAATGAATGAAAGCTTCTATCATTTTTACAGTAAATCACTCTGCTTTCTTTGCACTTATGCTTACTTTCATTTTCTGTCCCTGAGTGACAATACCTGCAAAGTGCAAGGAAGTACAGTTCTCAACTGCGCACAGAAGGGTGCATCCTTTCTGATCCCACTCTCAGGGCTTTCCACAATTGTCCTGCCATTTCACATCCTTCCTTAGGTTTTTCAGTATACAACTGGATTCTTTTCTTGTCTGCACTCAGTTCTTGGAAGGGGGCTTAAGTCTAGCAATTAGCGTCCATTGATGATGTGAATTCCCACTAACGCGCAAGATGTTCTCAAGCTGTCTGCAGATGCTTGTCGACTACCTCCCACTGGTAAAATTGGCTACCTGCCCTTTCAAGCTTCGTTCTCTAAGTGGCACCTCACATTTTTCTCATGCTTTTAAAATTTTGCTATTAAAAGTAGAAAATACGAGTCCCAGCTGTGATCCTTTCCCCTAAGAGATTTGGAGAGGTTGAAAGCATATTCTCTATTTATTAGGCAGAAAGAACATGGAAATAACTTTGTTATTCTTGATTCTCTGCAGGTGGAATGCAAAGCAGTGATGGTGTTTTTTCACTACTGTGTCATGTCCAACTACTTCTGGCTTTTCATTGAGGGATTGTACCTTTTCACTTTATTGGTAGAAACCTTTTTCCCAGAGAGGAGATATTTCTACTGGTACACTATTATTGGCTGGGGTATGTGACATTTCCTGTCTAAAATGTGTCTCAGTGTACAAGACAACTCCACGAACCATCTAATATATCCACATACAGTTTTAAAGTACAGTTTTAGTCTTTGTACAGAAATTCAATGGCAGACCAAACCTTGTTGTGCTTTTTTTGTCTGAACAGAGTTGAACTGAAATCTGGAGGTCACCACATCTCCTGTAGAGATGCAGTCCACAACTGAGAACTGCATTCTACAAGATATGATCTCAATGCCAGCTTCTTCAGCTTAAACAAATCTGCAATTCTAAGTTTAGTCGATTTTCTAAGACTTGATTTGTAGCTTTCTTCCAGATAATAGCTAAATTGAAAGCATATCCAAAGGGTATCCACATATGCTCCTCCAAAGTGAATGGTAAATGGAAACTTCGAATGGGCAGAAACAAAATTTGTTTCAGAAAGGCCAGTTGTACCATGATAACCAGTGTGATCATTTTTATTTTTGGCCTTCTGGAGATAAATTGATTCCTGCAGCATGTTAATTCAAACAGTTCTTTGCTGAGGCTTTTGTGCAGGAGTCAGATGATGAATGCAGAAGATTAATTTTAAATGTACCCTAAGAAGGTTAAGCTCAATTTTTTATACTGCAAGCAACATAATTCTGAAATCATCTGGAAATAATCCTGTATATTTATGTGTAAAGTGTACATACAAATCACATGCCTTGAACTATTCTCCTTTGAAGAATACATCCTCATGTAACCTGAACCTTCAAGTAACCCACAGCTGGTTTTGTTTTTTCCCTCCTGAAGCAGCTGTATATACATAAAAAATCTCAGCTCCTGGGAAAGACTCCCTACAATAGGAGCAAAGGTATAGAGAAGAAAGCAGAGAATAAATGATCAGAAATAATCTACGGCACATAAAGGTTGTTGGAAAAGAAAGTTTTGGAAAACGATACTCAAAGTTCCCCTTGTACTATCCACAGATGTAGAAACACCTTACAGCTGAGATATAGCACTTTTTTTGAAGAGAACTTAGGGGTTCTGTACATGGAAATGTAACATTTATAAAAGAAAACAATGTGTAAATCTTTGCAATCTGAACATAAGATGGAGGTTGGGTTCCTTTAATTAAGTTTGCACAAATTCTTATATGCAGTTTTGCCTGAATGTGAGACTATTGCAACATAGCACATTAACTGAATATTCTTATTTTAAATCAGTCTCTGTAATGAAAGAACGTCCTAGAAGGATTCATTCAGTAACACAACCTCAAAATATTTGGTCTTGAGTTGAATACCATAAATAATATCTATCTGTTCAGTTTTTCAATATCACCTCATATTCAAAGCAGTATTGATAACATCCATTAATAATGCTAAGGGAATCTCCAAACATGGATGGTTTTGTTTTTGGTTTGTTTTTTTTAAATACAATATTTTCTCAGCTCCTGTATACTTTAACTTGAATAGCAGTTCTCTTGGCCTGGTAGGAGCAACTGGCACTTCACAAGAACAGAAGCACTTCCAGACTCTGGATGCAAGTCACGTAGGGCAAAAGCATCCGCTCATCTCAGAGTTGGTGGGGAGCGAGTCGTATTGAAGCATCAATAAACAAAAGCTCAGCATTCTGCAGCATCTGGATGTTTATCCATTTCTTAAAATGTGCTGAGCACATCAGTGTCCTCATTTGATTAATGAGAAGTACGTATAGCTGTGTCCATACAGACAATTTTTTCCTCTTAAATATGCAGTATGTGTTAAGTTCTCTGGATAGACTGCTGTCTTCCTGAGAGCTCTCCTAATGATGCTTCTTACTCAGGGCAGAAATACAGTCAGCAAGAATAGCTCTCCTCTCAGCTTGTGAGGCTTGTCTGTTTTCTAATGTTGCTCAGAAGCTGAAAAGAAGGTGATGAAGATGTACGCATCATTTGATGTAAAGAAAAGTATTGTGAATGTACGTATATTCACATAGCAGAAGGTTCAAAACTCCAAGCTGATTGGAATTGTGCTTTCTGAACTATATTTTTATGATACATTTAGTCTAACTCTGCCTTCCCTCCCATGTTTCAGGCTTGGAACACTAGTCTCACCATCAAAATTTATACAGGGCATATCAGTGCAAACCAGATAACATGTCAGACCTATGACTGATATTGAAAGATTACTTTTATTATTGTGCGTCAGTGAAGTGCACAAAGATCTCAATGTTTTCTAGGTATTCTCATGTAAGAAAAGCAGACTTCATTTTAAATTAAATATGCATGATTTCTTCTCCCCCAAGCCTGTCATTTTATTTCTTTTTATCATTTTCCTTTCAAATATTTCTGTGTGTACTTTTTTAAAGGAGGAGGGCTTCATCAGTCATCGAGGTCTAACAGGGATATTTTTATTTCTGAGAGCAGGAGTATGAGATTTGACAGAGACTCACTTAAGTGGATTCAGTCAAATGACTAATTAATGTGACATCAACACAGCTTTGCAAAATGTATGAAACATAATTGTTCCTGACAATTTATGACAGTGTCTCGTTCACTGCTGCAAGCTGGGGTTAGCAAGGCCCTTATTTTGTTTGCTTTTTAGCACTTTATCTTTCCAGTGGTGTCTGAATAGATGCAGGCAGTTTCCTAGTCAAAGATTTTATTTGTCATAAAATGTAGATCCAACTTACCCAGAGTTTTCTTACAAGATTGCTTAATTTTATAAAAATATTTCCACTGAATAACAGTACTTTTAAAGTTTTCAGAAGGGAAAATAAATCCAGGTTTCTCAGTGGATTCTTGCTGTTTTGATTTAATTTATCTTTGACAGGCATTTTTTCAAGATTCAAGAAATGTCTGAAATAGAAATTAAATTCTTCCTCCCAATATTCTCTTTTGGGGGGTTGTGGTTTTTTTTTTTCCCCATGAAAAAAAATTGAATATTCCTGTGAGTAATGGAATACCATCCACACTCTACTGGTTTATTTTGGTTGAATAAGTAAAGGAAAATCAGCTACTTACATGATAACAGAGAAAATGCAATATATGCAAAACATTTACAACAAAATCACGTCATACGAAGAATATAACAATGCCATTACAGCTCAGCATCTGCCACTCTTTAATTATTACACAATTACAGTAGCTTTAGAGATGGAAGATATGTTGCTGCTTTTATTTTGTACAGACTTTGTGTTACTGTTAATGCAACAAGATGCAGTACAACAACTTTGAGCAATAATGACCCAAAACAACATCATTCTTTCCTGTTATCAGCTTTGCTTCTCCAATCCCACCAAGACTAACCAATCCTCTGACTGAAACAGATGTTTCTAGAGCTCTGAATGAACGTAATGAATCACATTGTCTCACGCATGAGTGCTATTAGGAAATAAAAACTTGGTGAAGCAGTTGCAAAAAGTGCTCACTACTGAGTACTACATGTGTCTAGACTGCTAATGATACCACCATCTTCTCTTCTGCAGGTACCCCAACAATATGTGTCACTGTCTGGGCAGTGCTGAGACTTCACTTTGATGATACTGGGTAGGTATCACTGTGTGGGAAATCATTTCACGTGCATTCAGCACAATGACAAGGATAAAACAGAAATCTAGATTTATATATAGAATTATATAGAATATACAGAAATATAGAAAAGTCAGAGGACATGACTAATTTCTCCTTCCATTTCTGACAATGATTAGGGTAAGCAAGTAGTTTAGGTCTAGTGTTCAACCTCGAGTGTTTTCCTGTTCAGCTGCATAAACAGCCATAGTTTGATGTTTATGTCCATATTTTGCTGATGAATTCATAAAAGAAGATGTAGGCATCTAGCCTGTAAAGATGAAGCCGAGCCTGTGACCCTCCGTTCCCTGCTCTGTTAATTAGTAGAGTCCAGGATATGGTTTATCTCATCTTAAAAGAACTATCAGGTGACTCACACCTGTGATTGTCTTCTCTCCAACTGATTACAAAGGAGGACAAAGGTGATGAGCTCAGCTGTAGAAACTGTTGCAAATATTTATGATGTGATGAGTGAAATCTGCACAAGGGGTTGCTGAGATTTGATTTACAATGGCAATTAGGAGTTTAGTTTCCCTTGGAGGGTTTTTTCCACAAATCTGCTGGGGGAGATGAGTAGAGGTGAGACAGAAATCCACGACTTGTATTATGTGCAGCAAAAAAAAGAGAAAATGGAATAATTTCAGAAAAAATTCAAGACTGGGTTGCAGACTATTGGTCTCTTTTGGTAGGGGAAAATCCTGCAAATATCCTGTAGAGGACCAGAAGGAAAGCCCACTCCTGGATATGGTCCTGCACATCTCAGTAGTCAGTACACTGACTGATCTGATAGAGCATCAGGCATAGCTGGTAGGAATGAATATGTATGTACACCCTGAAAATAAAAACTTGGCAATGTTTTTTCATGACAACTTTGTTTGAAATTGGTAAAATGTTAGACAAATGCTGGGAATGAGGGAAACTGAATAAAGTTTGGAAAATCCAGCAGTGGTTCTTTGAAAGGCGTCATTGTGTACCCAAGTCCCATTTCCGAGAGATTTAGGCTTCTGTTTTAATTTTGTCTTATGCTAGAGATACCTGGATCCATAATTTGCACAAGACTCACTATTCTGTCAGGTTTTCTTCATCCTTCTTCTTTCACTCTGTTTTAGGAAAGCACATCAAGCCCTTCCTTCCTCCACTGGGGATGCCAGTGCTTTGACCCAATGTTCTATTTTGAAGTTAAGACAAATTAAATCATTTATTTCCACTCAAAACAAGCCAGAAACCCCTGTTGTGTCATTACTGTGATCACAACACTGGTCCTAAATGTGCTAATCTCTCTTAGGAGTCCAAGTAGTCCTTGTATTTTGTGGGAAGGGAGAAGGTCTCACAGAAGGACAAAGAAGAAGGAAAAAAAAAAAACTTTCCTTTCTTTTAGGTAGAGAAGCTATTTGGCATGCAAGACATTTAGAGAGATTCTAGCTGAGCGTCTCAGTGGTTACTTTTCAAAAATCAGCAAGCATTGTTCTGGGGGTGGGGGAGAAGCCAGCATAAGCCTGAAAACATTGCAGAAATTTCTGAAGTGGGAAACCACAGTCACAAAGGCATGGACTAAAATACAGACTCCAAGACTGTGTCTCCTCCTGCTTGCTGCTTATAAAACTGGCAGAGCTCCCTTGACTTCATCTCCCGATTCGCATCACTGTAAGTGACAGGTTTGTGGAGAAAAATGCAACTGTCTGTTTATCCAGAGCTGTGCTACTGAATTAAATGGAGTAGTTCCAGATGTCTACCAGACATATAACAGAGATCAGATTGTAACCTTTCAAAATGGAAATCACATCCCTCCCCCAGCCCACTGGCTCCCTTCCCTTCATCCATCCTGAAGAAGAGTGCTGTGTGTCTGACTTCCACTATAGCAATACATTTGAAAGAAATTAGGGAGCTTGTTTACACAGTACAACTTGTTGGCTGGTATTACAGACTGTTCTGTTGTTCATTGCTTTTTTTTTTCCTTCTGGTCTTGTTCATCTGAGGAGAAGATGGTATTTCTTCCACCGCACTCATCCTATAGATGTCACAGGGACTGGACAAAAAAAGTCCTTGAGAAAACCTTTGTGTGAGCTTAATCTGATTCATTGTTGACATCTACAAGGTAGATACTAGAAATTGAGCTTGCTGGGGACACATCCTGTAAAAGAAGAGGAATAGGTCTAAGGAGAACAGGCATTTGTAGAGGATGATGTATTGCCCCAGAGTACACATTTAAACGTATATCAGGGCATGAAAAAATAAAAAACCTCCAAGTGTCTCTTTGTCCCAACCGGAGTCCGGGATAATTAGTTGGGCTGTAGATGTCTTGAATATATATGACTCAAAATAGAGCAGGTATGTTCCGTCCCCTGTAATTTCTCATTTCTACGCAGACAAATTGCCATACATCAAAGCCTATTTATACAGCTAGATTAATAGTAGAATTTGTCCACTTTCTTCCAGCATTGGTCAACTCTCTAAAGAATTTCAGGACAGATTCAACATGCATCTCAAAGAGGCTGAGCTCTGCAAATAGTGGGTAATTTTCAGAAGAGGACACCTAATTTACAAATGTAGACAAAGAATTTAAAAGATAATCAGTGATTTTACATGCTTTTGTTTTATGGTGTACAATTGTTGACAACTGAAAAGAGACTGATTTCCAGACTGTGGGTGGGTGAGGAGTTACCTCTGAACATTTGTCCCCTTTCAAATATTTTAAGTTGGGCATCCAAAGTGAGGTAACGCAGAAATGTTACTTAACATTTGAAATCTCACCCAACCGTCCCATAGATTTTGGGGGATTTTAAATTTCTAGGCTTTGTAGACAGAAGAAATAATACGTAAATTAGTGTGAATTTGACATCCCAGCCCTAAATTTTCTCTTTACTCACTAGCTCTACCACAAATATCGTTATTGCTGGTTTTATGGGAATCCAGTAAAATAGCGTTCAACTGAAACAGAATAAACATTGTTCAACTGAAAATATAAATTCAGCTGAAATTTCTAAACCAGACATCCCTTGGTTGCTTGGGATGCACTTTGATGACAGAATTTTAGTTCTGACTCCTCACAATTGCACATGTATATAGTTTCATTTAAAGTCAAGATTTTCACTTTTCCTCCAGATGCTACCAGTCTACCATTTAAATGACACAGAAGTTGCATTAAGCTCTCATAAGATCAGCAGTGTTTTATTCCTGTATGCTCTTTCAAATTGCTTCTTGGCATCTGACAAATGTGCCATGACAACCACTGCTGGGACTTTTGGCTGTTGTCCCAGTGGGAGGGAAACCCTCCTTCTCAAAACTGCAGGTACAAAATAGTCATTTTTCTATAATTTTATGTTTTCCAGAGGGAAGCATGAGAGGAAGAAAGCAGAGACAAATAAAAGACATTTTTTAACTGACAATCAAATTCTTAATGACTTAAAATGGTGTAGCGGGGGTGGTGTGGCAGAGGAAATAAGATTTTTTCCATTATTATTGTTTTTTTAGCTTTAAAAGTATATGTTAAAGTTAAAATCCCTTATGTTATGTTAAAGTTAAAACCCCTTATGTATATGGGTCCTGTGAATAGCTTTCTCTACAAATGAATGTCCAAATGCATCTATATGGAATAAACTTCAGCAAAATCCTTTGGTGAGTCTGGAGGAAGATTTTAAATGCTGAGGTAGAAAAGTAATTTAATTTATGATCACTCACTACCAACAGCTTAAAAAAGGACCTGACCCAACTGTTGTCCAGTACTTCAACCTTCTTAGATGACTGTGTAATAGATATGTGTACGAATCCTCATGTCAGGATCTGGATCCAAAATTCATATCTCTTTACCCTGGAAAAGTAACTGACACATCAAACTTTTGCATAACAGTGTCTTACCCTTTGAGGTATCCCTGCCTTTTTTTCCCTTCTCCTGCGATGTTAGCTTAAAGGGACAATTTCACAGATGTACTGTCTGCAGACACAGAGATGTGCATAGAGGCATTTTCCACAATGGATGAAATGTTTAGAAAGAGGTGCCACTGAAATTGCCACAATAATTCTCACTGTCAGATAAGTTGGCTGTAAAAGAAAGCCACAACAGGGACAGACTAAAGAACTAGTACCTTTGAACCCAAATAAAATAATTTAGCTACAAGACCAATCTCCCAATCTCTGCCTCCTTGAAAATCATTGTAAATTTATGAATTTCCTTGTTATAGCTTTACATTTTTCCTTCTCTTTCCCCATTCCATTCCTACATTAACGACTGCAGCTGCTGGGACATGAATGACAACACTGCCTTGTGGTGGGTGATCAAGGGTCCTGTGGTTGGATCCATCATGGTAAGTAGAACTTGTAGGAGGTGCTTCCTCCACATTTTGGAGTGCAAATAACCAATGCAAATAGCTTTAAATGGCTTTACAAATGATACTGCATCTGCTGTGCTGGACTACTGGGCAGTTTGTCTGAGTGTCCACCTTTTGCCATCCACAATGCTAGGTAATTCCATTGTTATAAAGATGGTTTAGTACAAAGGAAATGACAGTGCACTGCCTGCAAGCAAAGGCTATCTAGACAAGGAGTTATTCAGTTACTTAAACATAGATACAAAATGCCATAAGTAAGACCCTAGAGCATATGGAGCATTTGCCTGGTTCTGGTAGATATGACACAGGATGTATAGGATTCCTGTGCCGTTTAGGGTGGCAGCTGAAGGCCAAGTGGAACAACCCAGGGAATCTAAAACAGTACTACATGCCAGTGAGTAGGAAGCTGGACTCTGTCTGTTGCATGGCATTCATTTCACGGCTACATTTATTTCTCTAATATTAGCTTTATAATAGTATTGTGGACATCATGCAAGATGTTCAATTGTCAACAAGACTTCTAAGCTCTGTTTAGTTCATGGAGGTCTTGAATTTTACTCAAATGATGTTAGATACCTGTGTATGGATGACTGAGAAGTTCTAAAGTACTGTGTTTGGGCTCCAGCTGTTGCCTCAAAGTATATGAGAATTTTAAAATGATGTTGGAAATGAAACTGAGACCCTAGACAATATGATTAGTGGTACCTGAAAAGCTGTTTGGCTTACCGCATGTAGGTGTCTAATCTGGGCATATAAAGTTGCTCTCCATACTCTGGCGACAACATCGGCCAGGTCTTCATTGACTGTTGTGGGAGTTTAGACATCCAGCTCACAGGTAGCTAACTATATGTCAGTGTTTTCATCAGATTTGGTGCTTCTCCTTGTAAGTATTTGGACAGCTCTCTAAAGTACAGTAACCTTCAGACATAAAAATTCAGATAATAACACTAAAGGGTATCAAGATGGAGAGGGTCCAATGGTCTGGGTGTTTTGTGACATTGATGTATGTGAATTTCCATGCCTGACAGACGTATTCTATGAAGGATCACATTCTGGCTTTGGGGAATCAGTTATACCTGGCTTCTGTTGAAGGCATTAAAGATTCAAGCAACCAGCAAGGGATGATTTGGTTTCTCCATTCATTTGTAGCGTTCAGATCAAACAGAAAATGCTTCTTAAAGAGATGCGCACACCTAGTTTAAGTTCTTTGTCTCCTTACAGGAGTAAAAGGTTGCATAAGACACCAGTTAAATTTCCCACTGTTTTCTTCTGGCGTTAATTTGAAGCCAAAGCATTGAAATACACAGATTTTATTAATCTCAAAATTTTAAAAAATGTATCTGTAGTGACATGACCTTACCAAAGAGAAGATTCCCAGGATGGCATGAAACTAAAAGACATGAAGAAGAACATTAAACACCCTCCCTGCCACATACATGTCCTCCTCCCCTCTTAAAGCCATTAGAAGTCATCTTGTCTTGGGACAGGTTCAGCCAAACAGAGGGAGAGTGACACACTTTGGGATTTCCAGGAAAGGGAATACACTAGATCGTGACTGATGGATGCTGCTAAAACGAGAAATACCTTAGTTCAGAGAATGGGAGTTAAGGATGCTTTTACTGTAGAGATCTTTGCTATAAGATTTTAATGTGCAGGAATCTTTCTTTTTATTCTTTGCACTGGTTGATAATGAAAAATGTTGAAACATTTTTGCTTACGTTTGCCTTATCTGGTGCTTGGGATTGAAATTCTGCCTTACTTTACCTGCTGCAGGAGGGTAATTCTTGCCTGGAAAAGGGGCAATAAGACCCTTGTAAACTTATTCCCTTACTCCTGACCCTATAAAACTTCTAGACTACAGTTTGGAGAAGGCGGCAGCAATGGAACCAGCAAGTCACTGGGAATGTCTCATTCTCATACTTGAACAAACATATAATTTTCATAATTTTTTCTGTTTTTTCTCCTCAGATAAACTTTGTGCTTTTTATTGGCATAATTGTGATACTGGTGCAGAAACTCCAGTCACCTGATATCGGAGGCAACGAATCCAGCATTTACTTGTAAGTACAAATAAAGCTGTAACCAATTAAGATTTCTAATATACACATAGGAAAAACGACAAAGACAAAAAGACAGGTCAGCTGAATTTCTTTCATTCTCAAAAAGAGTCACAGAGTCTATTAAATTCCTTTGGCTGTTTTTTACATTTTTTTAAACTCAAAAGCCACTAAAGTGCATTTTAATGCCAACTTTCACCCTTCTTTAAAAGGCCTAGAAAAGAAGCATAAACACAAGATTGAAAAAAACCTGCAAAACTTCTATACATGTCAGTTATCTTGAAATTAACATCCTGACCAGGCATAAATATTATCACACTCATGGGACAGTCTGCTGTGCTTCATATGTTCCAGAGACATGGTCCATATGAGATTTGGTGAAAAGATTTCATAAACTTTGGACTAAATTCTAATTCAGGAAGATCTCCTAAAATTGCTTATGTTCACATTTCTTGCAACTTTGAATGCATTCCACTTGAACCAAACAATTCCCGCACACACCTAGAATTGCTTAAAAATGCACGACAAATTCTAAAATTTTCCTTTAGATGTTTTAAATCTTTGTTTATGGTTTACATTTTTTGAAGCCAACACACTTTTTATTAGTTTCCACCTCATTAGAGGACAGAAATTGGCCATTTGAGATGGTTATTTCCCATTTTTCCCATTTTGAGTTCATGCAGTCATTATCCATACAGAAATTATATAATCATTTTGAATAGCTAAGAGAAATGGCAGCACTTTTGGTGTTTTCTTGGCTTTTCAGCCGAACTGCCATGCACATTTGTGTTGCTATAATTTGTGAGCTCTAGAGATTTCTAGCACTCATAAATATAGGTAAGACTTTGAATCAGCACTGGATTCCTTGTGAAAAAGGGCAAGTCATGCAAACCTTAAATAAAAACAAAAGATGTCATGGTAAAGTAGAAGAGCCTTCTTTTGCAGCACTTTTTTAAAAAGTTACCGAGTGATCAGTTTCACCCTAAGTAACCACACTGGTATGATGATGTCATCCATCTTACAAACAATTTTCAGGGAAAAATATGTTCCCCAGCTGCCTATTTTTCTTTTCTTCTTTCCTATTGTCTTGTTTACATTTACCTGAAATTATAATATTTTATGCATCAATTTTGCGTGTCTGTAGTCAGACTTCCTACTGAAAGCATTGCCCTTGAATCTTGCTCTAAACTGTGTTTCCACACACAAAAATAATGCTTTAAATTCATTCTGCAGTGAATATATATCAGCATTAAAATTCAGGAGCAAGTGTAGTGAATAGTTTAAGTACATGCATGGTTTTCCTAGGGCTTGCATGAAGCCTTCTCACACACGTGCTGCTGGGAAGTTGTCCACCGAGTCTTAGATTGTAATTAGCACCCAAGATGTGCAGAGCTAGTTCTGACTACACCTGCTAAGTGCATGTTTGGTGTCTGCTGCACGTCTCTCACATACGAAGCAAAGCATGCCATAGACTCCACTGATTTAACTAGACTATAAAACATCCCTGTCATTTTTGATCAATATGGTGACTGGGTTTTACTGATACTTTTCCTATGTGTATAGTTAGCCACCAAAACCAAGAGAAATCATCATATTTTCTGTTTCATTCGCTGCCATTCTTTTTCATATTTTTTTGCGACTTTATAAATGGGTGTGTATAAATTGATCTTGCATTTATGTATGCGTTATGAAGTGGAGTGTTGTTTATCCAAACAGATTCAACAACAGAAAAGTCACACAGAAATGATACGAATAAGTCTATGCAGATATACACCCGGCATACTCCATATTTGTGCCACGTATCCTGTAAAAAGAGCTTTTATAATGAGGAAAAAAGATAAATCATGGTATGGTTATGTCACCATATTGAAATCTCTGTGGCATTTAGACTGGTCCATATTAAACATTTTCCATGTCCTATTTTGCTGTTTCAAGCTATGAAACATCATCCCATCAGACCAAATTCTCCATCCAGATGTTTATTCCACAAAATCTTTAATTATTTTGCCTTTAGTACATGAGACAGCTTAGTTGTGGTCTAGGAAGGATGTTCAGCCTGTTTCTGAAGGTGATATCATATGATATCAGCAGCAGAGATGGAGATTTACTCTGGTGTCTATCTTCCATTCTTTGGAATAACCATTTAGCCAGGACTTCCATCACCAAAAAAGAAAATAAAACCCCCCACAAAAATTTGGTTATTGATTTTGGGTAGGATTTATTTTCTTCTTATACGTATGGTACACGTTTACATTCAGGCCCTTTTAATGATTAATTTATTAGGAAAATCTACCTCCAGTTCTATTTTATAGGCACTATGGTCACGGTTCTGCAAATCACGTAAGCCTTTATTTGGCTTCAAAAGCCTTGGGGTTGTGCTTAAATTCAAAGATTAATTATATATTATTATCACTGTGCACTCATTATTAAAACTTCCCACAACTGCAGTTAGCTGTGAGCTATGGCAGGAACATAACAGAAGAGTGCACTACTGGGGAACTAATGCTTAATTAAAACAGTGTAGCCACTGGAAATTCTAAGGCTTGCTTTAAAAAGAAAACCAAACAATAATCTGTATAATTTGCAGCACTTTAATGAGCGCTGTGTCCCCATGAAAAATCAGACTTTCTCTCTAAATAACCTTTCTGATGATCGTTGTACACAATAGCCTTTGCCTTTAGGCTGATAAAAACTTAGAAACATGTAGCTAATTCCAAATATTTTTCGGCAGTAGTAAAATGCTTTAGTGATTGTAAACTTCCATTTTCTCAACTTCTATGTTCAGCCATTCATTACCAGTCGCAGGCCTAATCCATCTTTCGTCACAATTTAATTCCCCTTCAAAGCTCCCTGCATGCTGCTGATCCCATTTCAGACTGAACAGCTCAAAACGTCAGATTCTGAGAGAACAACAGGTCCACCCTGCTTTTACTGATGTTTTAGATAGAAACTCTTCCTGATGGCTGCAATGATGAAGGGCTAGGTTTATCAAAAACATCTAAGCAGATTACATAGGAATTCAAAAGGAAATAGAAGCCACCCTTTTCAATGTTCGTTTTAATTTTATGGTGGAGGGGGGTGTCTGAGAGCCTTAAGCAGCTTTTATGCTTGCTCCCAGTAGTCATCAGAATCATTATTTACTTTTTATTATTAAGAGTGAACTGCCAAATGCATGAAAAAGACTTAACTTTGTTTCTTGAACCGTGGTGGGGTTTCAGTTAGTCTTGTGTCAGTCCTGAATAATTCCACAAAATTCAGCGTCAAATCAAAGCAAGTTCGGTAATACAAATGTAACAGATCTTTATCTGAATGAGAAGTTCTGAGATCCTCAGGTTCTGGGGAATCATAAAGTGATATCGATTGAATTTCTAGTGTAATTAAGACAACTGTCTGCATAGTTCAGACAGGCTTATTGCTCCATCTGGTGAATGAATTGCATAAATAGTAGTAATGTGCCATGGTCATGGACAGGGCATACTTCATCCTGCAGTACAAATAACATACTTCATCCTTCAGTACAAATGACAATGTCTTGTGTTTGCACCTGTATATTCAATCCAACTCACAGTTCTGGGGCCTGGAAACACATATTCACAACCCTGCTACGGAGGGCTCAGCACACAGTGTGTTGCATCAGGCCCACAGTATTTGCACGGATTTTCATACAGCGGTCCCTTGCCTGGAATTTTAGGAAAGAGGTAATTAATTCATCTGGCAAGGCTTCACTGTTTTTCCCCTGGGAAATCCAGCCAATAGTGCGTAACATGGGATGTCAGAATCTGCATTCAGGCATCCTGATTTTGGTCAAGTAATTGTAGAGACGGTACATTCACTCCCCCCTAAAAGCCATATTCCTACAGAAATGCCTACACAGAGCTTAAATCCACGTTATTATCTTCATGAGCGTTGTTGCACTGCTGAAAGAGTCATTATAGACAGAAGATTACCCAAGTTTCACTACCATAAACCACTACAGTAATTAAGTAGGTATGCATGATGTAGATGCATGCTGAAATAACCCTTAAGATTAAAAAAGCCCACACATTTCCATCAACTCTTTGCTTATTCGTTCATTTCTGAGGATCGAACACATTTAACTGAAAAAGCACCTTTTTTTTTTTTTATTTCCAGTTTATCATTAATAGTGTAATTTGGGAGGGGGAAGCTTGTTTCTGCTTTTGCTTTAACAGATTCTTCATAAATTTTGTATCACATGTTGAAAACTCAATGAAAAGAAAACAAACCCCACATATATATAGCTAATTCAGGTCTACGTCATTCCTCCAATCAGCATCTTGCTGGAAAGAAAGGAGAAACATGGCATGTATCATAGGTAGGTATGATTTTACATATGGTGCACCCTAGAGGGTTAAGGCAGGAGAAGCAATGTTGTGACAAACTTGTTTTGGTAAACAACACTCCTCTACAGCTCACCTACAAAGTCACTGGACACTCAACTATTCATTCTGCTACCGCTTTGTCTTGCTGCAAGTGCTCAGACTGCCAGCGTTAACAATTATTAGGGTCTTCATGAGAGAAGTCTCATTTTTGACAAGAAAATGGCAGATGTTTGATGAACGATATGTTCTTCAGCATGGCACTTGAATTTCTAAACCTCAGGTACTGTCTGTTGAGTGCTGGAATGCCCACTAACCCAGCAATGAAAAGAACTCCTGCCCCTGGGCTAATTCTTTTCTATCACAAGAAAATACGAAGATCATTTGGTGTCAGTGCACGATCAACAAGGACCCAGTTCTCATTTCTAAGAAACACTAGAAGAGTGCTACTGTGATTGACACTACTTCTTGACAGATTTGTTTAATGGTCTAGAGCAAATGTTCTCATTCACAACTACCATACTTTTCCTTTGTATTTCCCAAAAGAAATTATTATTTGGGGTGTTGGTTTGACGGTTTTTTGGTTTCTGTTGTTTTGTTGGCGAATTTTTTGGGGGAGTGGGTTAATTTGTGCCAAATCTTTTCAGGTAGAATTGGAAAAAAAAT